TTCTGAGAACCTGCCATACTGATTTCCAAAGTTGTTGTACAAGTTTGCATTCCTACTAGCAATAGATAAGTGTTCCCCTTACTCCACACCCTCTCCAGCTATCATGGGTGGTCTAAGCCCTTCTGACTAGTGTAAAATGGTATCTCAGAGTTGTTTTGATTTGCATTTTCCTGATGGCTAAGGATGTTGAACATTTCCTTAAGTTTCTTATGGCCATGTGAGGTTCTTCTGTTGAGAATTCTCTGTTTAGTTCTGTACCCCATTTTTTTAGTTGTGGTATTTGGAATTTTGATGTCTAATTTCTTGAGTTCTTTATATATTTTTTGGAGATAAGTCCTTTGTTTGATGTAGGATTGGTGAAGATCTTTTCCCATTCAGTAGGCTGCCTTTTTGTCTTATTGATTGTGTCCTTTTCTTTACGGAAACTTCTCAGTTTCAGGAAGTCCCATTTATTTATTGTTGCTCTCAGTGTGTGTGCTATTGGTGTTATATTTAGGAAGTGGTCTCCTGTATTCTTCTACATGTTGACATCCAGTTATGCCAGTACCATTTATTGAAGATGCTTTCTTTTTTATTCATTGTACAATTTTAGCTTCTTTGTCAAAAATTAGGTGTTCATAGGTGTATGGATTAATATCCAGGTCTTCTATTTAATTCCATTGGTCAACCTCTCTGTTTTTATGTCAATACCAAGCTGTTTTTGTTACTATAGTTCTGTAATAGAGCTTGATGTCAAGAATGATGATGCCTCTGGAAGTTTCTTTATTGTATAGGATTGTTTTGGCTCTCCTGGTTTTTTTGGGTTTTTTTTCTTTTTTTTTTGCTTTTCCATATGAAGTTGATTATTTTTCTCTCAAGGTTTGTGAAGAATTGTGTTGTGATTTTAATGGGGATTGCACTGAATCTATAGATTGCTTTTGGTAGGATTGCCATTTTTATTATGTTGATCCTACCTATCCAAGAACATGGAAGATCTTTCCATTTTCTGTTATCTTCTGCAATTTCTTTCTTTAAAGACTTAAAGTTCTTGTCAAATAAGTCTTTCACTTCTTTAGTTAGTGTTACCCCAAGATATTTTATGTTATTTGTGGCTATTGTGAAAAGTGATGTTTCTCTTATTTCTTTGTTTCTCTGGAAGTAGAGGAGCTTTCTGGTGGAATTTTTAGGTTTATTTATGTATACAATCATATCACCTATTAGTTCAAGCATACTGTCTCAGTGGGTGGATCATCCCCTCATGGTCCTGACTTCCTTGGTCATATTCTCCTTCCTTTTCTGCTTTTCAACTTCACCTTTGGAGCTCAGTCCAGTACTCCATGTGGGACTCTGTCTCTATCTCCATCTGTCGCTGGATGAAGGTTTTTATGATGATATTCAAGATAGACATCAGTCAAGGTCCAGTTGAAGAGCAGAAGGAGGGAGAAGATGAGCAAGGAAGTCAGGACCGCAAGGGGTTGGTCCACCAACTGAGGCAGTGTGCCTGTTCTAATGGGAGCTCACCAAATCCAGCTGAACTGGGATTGAACGAGCATGTGGTCAAACTGGATTCTCTGATTGTGACTGACAATGGGGGCTGACTGAGAAGCCATTGATAAAGGCACTGGGACTTGTTTTTACGGCATGTTCTGGTTTTTTGGGGACCCTAGTCTATATGGATGCATAGCTTCCTAGGCCTGGATGTAGGAGGGAGGGCCTTGGACTTCCCACAGGACAGGGTTCCCTGTCCTCAAGCAGGGAGGGAGAGGGAGGAGAGTGAGTGGAGGAGTGGGAGGGGATGGGGAGGATGGGAAGAAGTGTAAATTTTTGAATGGAAAAAAGTGATTCAAATAAGGAAAAAAAAAAAAGGCATGTCTCTGTTGCCGGTCAGCAAACAGAGCCCACCTAAGAAAATGCTACTACCAAGAAGTCATGCTTAACTCTGTTCTTTTCTGTATAGAATTCCTTCTCAAGCTCTCTCAGATTTTATGTGGAAATAGTTGCCCCAAGTTGGCACCATTTTGTAGACAGAGACTGCTTGTTCATTCTCTGCCACCCAGACCTGAATAAGTCACACAGAAACTATATTAATTACAATACTGTTTGGCCAATAGTTTGGGCAAATTCTAGTTAACTCTTATATCTTAAATTAACCCAGTTATATTATTCTGTGTATCGCCACAAGGCTGTGGCTCACCAGTAAGGTTCTGGCTGATGACTAGCAACTGGTGTCTTTGTTCTTTGGCAGCTTCATGGCATCTCCTTGACTCCACCTACTTTCTCTCTATATCTCTGTTTGGATTTCTCACCTGGCTTTACTCTACTAAGCCACTGGCTAAAAGAGCTTCTTTAATAATTGATGGTAATAATGGTAATAAAACATTCATAGCATACAGAGATGAATCCCACATCAGGACACAGTCACTAAGACAAAACGACAGTCTACAGAATGGGAAAAGATCTTCACTAACCCCACATCGGACAGAGAATTAATCTCCAAAACATATAAAGAACTAAAGAAATGAGTCATAAAAATTACCAAATAATCCAATCAAAAATGGGCTACAGGTCTAAACAGAGAATTCTCAACAATAGAATTGCAAATTCCTAAAAGAAATTGCTCAACATTCTTAGCCATCAGGAAAATGCACATCAAAATGACTCCAGTCAGAATGGCTAAGTTCAAAAACACCAATGGTAGCTTATGCTGGAGAGGATGTGGAGTAAGCGGAACACTCCTCCATTGCCGGTGGGAATGCAAACTTGTAAAATGAGAAAAGATTGTATTAAAAAATTCTCCATAAAAAGAAAAAAAACAAAGTCATCTTTATTATGTTGAGGCATGTATGTCCCTTGTATCCCCAATCTCTCCAGGACTTTTATTATGAAGGGATATTGGATTTTGTCAAAGGTGTTTTCTACATGGAATGAGATGATAATGTAGTTTTGTTTTTCAGTGTGTATATGGTGGATTATAGTTACCTATTTACATATTTTGGACCATCCCTGCATCTCAAGGATGAAGTCTACTTGCTCATGGTGGATCATTTTTTTTGTTAAGATAGTAGTTTATTCAAAAGATTAAAAAAGGTTCCAGTCATTAAATTGAAGAAAATAATATAAAATTTCCCCTTGGTTTTCCACAAAGAACAGAGTGGTAGAGCTTTCTTTAAAGTCTCAGAGGAGATTTTAAACTGTTGCACATTTTGGTTTACTTAAACTTACTATTAGAACAATTGTCAACAAAAATGATTTTTGTGATAATCTTGTTTCAATTTTCTCTTAGTGTTGTTTAGTGATTTTTTTTAATATTTCACCCCTACAGAGTTAAAAAAAATTAGTTATTTTTGCCTTTATTGTTCAGAAATTCAGTTTGACCAAGAATACCCTCTGTTATAATTGATTGGTTCTCCCCTGATCAACAGTTGAGACAGTCTCTAAACAAGTGTGTTCTTGGATTCAGTTTGCACACATTTTATTGAGAATTTTTGCTTGTGTGTTCATAAGGAAAATTTGTCTGTAATTATTTTTTTTTTCTTTTTTGGGTCTTTACGTGTTTGGAACATCAAGGTAACTATGGCCTTGTAAGCGGAACTCAGCAGTGTTTCTTCTGTTCCAATTTTGTGGAATAATTTGAAGCACACTGGCATTAATTCGTCTTCTAAAGTTTGATAGAATTCTGTACTGAAGCCATCTGGCCCTAGGCCTTTTTGGGTTTTGAGACTTTTAATTACTGCTTCCATTTAACTAGCGGTTATATGTCTATTTAAGTTGCTCATCTGATTTTGATTTAACGTTGGCAGGTGGTATATATCAAGAAAATTATCCATTTCTTTTAGATTTTCCAATTTGGGTCCATTCCTTTTTTTAAAAAAAAAACTGTTATGTGCCTTTTCTCAAAGAAAAAATTGCTTAATGTATTCCAAAATTATATAATTCTTTCTGAAACCCTCATTGCGTTGAAACGGAAAGTATCAGTCAGTTTTAGTTGATGTGTTCTCCTAATGTGTTCGATTCTGAACCAACGTTTCCTTCATTTATCAGCTGTGACCCCATAGTAACCATATATTCTTATGCGGGAGAGATTGGTGGAACCTATGCGCTCATGTTCCCAACATATCCCGACCCCAAACTTCTGCTCCACAGCTGTAGAAGAACGACCATGTCAGCGCTCTATCTGCTGGATGCATCAATCACCCAAACCTCCTAAGGAAAGAAGGCTGTGATTTGTGTAAAGAAAGAGATGGATATACGCTCCAGGGTCAAGGAGGAGTGGCTCTGATAACTGCAAGAGCCTTGTTCTCATAGCACCAGGGCAAGGTCAGTTGCCATTTTCTCACACTCAGAATTATTGTTCCCTCTCTACCAGGGTGAAATACATCCCTGCCTAAGAACCCCTGTTAGTGAAGTTTGGCTGCAGAATCACAGAAGTGTCCTTACCTTATTCTGTTTCAACTATTATCTTGAAATTAAGTTCAAGGTTATTGTAATAACATTCTATTCATGTAGACACTGGGGATTTAATTTTGGAGAATATGAAGACAGATATTGTTGACAATAGGTGTGTTGCAGATGTGGAACTGGCAACCAACCCCTCATCCATAGCCTTTGAAGTTTTTTTTCTCTTCGTGATAATTTCTGCTGCTGAAAACTTCCTCCCTGGAATCCTCCTTAAATTCTGGCTATAAGGGCATGTGGACATTAGGGTTTGTTCCTTGAAGCCACCCTTTTCTCAGCTATTTCCTAGGTTGTCAGTTTCAAACCCCACTAGGAAAAGGGTCTAGAGGGCATTAGGATTATTAGCTCATAGAGCGACTCGCAGACTGCCAGCACCTTGTATTGTTGGGTTTCTATCTAGAATATTAAAAAACCTGTCCTTTATTATTATTTACCATGGGGATACAGGAAGGTAACTTCCTTAAATTTTGGAACTTTAAGTACAAAAATCCCACCCAGCCCCTAAATGTGACAGAGCTAAGAGGTCTCAGGAGTCAAAAGTTAATGATGCAGAATGTTATATTTTTATTGGAAAGAAATTATCATAATGAATGTGAGATTTAGGATTCTCAAGACAAGCAAGTGTGAGAGGGAAGCGTCGTCCATGGACTGCCTTGGGGACCACATGGGAGCTGCATGAAGACATCCCAGGCTTCGTCTAGGTGGTTTGACTCCTAGGGAGAGAGAGAACAATCTTAAATGTGGAGCGGGTGCAGAGGGGCCAGTGAGGGGGACCCATGTGTCTTTGCTTCCCCATTGTCAGCTGTTACTGCTACTTTTCCTCTCCTCTGAGTCACAAACAGGGACCATTTCGCACTCATTTCTTTCTTTTATCAAGAGAGGAGAGGAATCTGATTCTTGAATGTATGGTGATCTAAAGACGCTCTTCACTATAAAACTTCCAACATGATAAGCAAGAAATTAACCTTTGACAAGTGAAATTGTAAGAACTGATAAGATTATAAACTTATAAATGAAGTGAACTTCCAAGTTTTTTTTTTCTTTCACTTGTTGATTGTACAAGAGAAAACCATTGACAGTACACACTAAGGGTAGGGATTCAGGATACAGTCACAGCCCGGGTGCCTTTAAGCTCTATTCTGCCAGGTGCTTTTCTCACCTTCCTGAAGGTCACACACCACAGCTCCACTGGTGTGCACAGTGGGGACCAGTCCCATAGAATGACCCAGGGAGTGTCCATGCATAACTTCTAAACACTGCATAGGTATCTCCCTCACTAGGGAAAATACTCACCATCATATTGGTCCAGACCCTCTGCTGGTCAGTGAATGTATTATCTAAGACAGGTCTTGAGAAAACCGGCTCTTCTTTCTCTTTACAAATGAACTCTCACTTTCTGTATTAGAACCACTGTGATCCCCAGAGCTAACTTTACTTTTTTTATTACTTGATTCCTCATAGCTTTCCTCACTGGAGGAGGCTCTGTGGTCACTGAAAGAGATATCCGCCTTGTCAAGGGAGTATGATGTAGGAGAACCTAATGCAAACCTCCTCTCCCCCGAGCCTGTTTCATAGCTCTCGCTGGCCGTTTCTTCAGACTGTGAGAATTTTTCTGATAAGAAAAAAAAAAATAAACAGGTTTATTCTCTACCTGTATCTTTCTATCTGTATCTGTCTTTCTGGGTTTGTTGTGAAGTAAGACATTGTAAACAACCTGTGGTTTTGCTATTATTAATTAGTAAATCTGATTGCTCTGATTGGCTCTATCTTGTGGTACAACTTGTCTTTTGTGTTGTCTAGAAACTCCTTGATCTTTTGTCTAGTTAGAAATAGGCTTGATCTACTTGGCAACTGTAGTTAATAATTCATTTGTGTTTTAGTAAAGAAACTTGCCTGAAGATCAGAGAGTAAAACAGCCCCACTGGTCAGTCTTACAGACCAGGCCGTGGTGACACAAACCTTTAATCCTAGTAGCCACCCTAGTTTTCCGTAGAAACTGGGTAGCAGTGGTGCACGCCTTTAATCCTAGCACTAGAGAGGTTGCTAAAACAGGAAGGGAGGGCTCTCACTCATGGTTTTACCTGAGATTCCTAGAGGTAGGATTGCCATTTCAGACTGAGGGAGAAGTAAAAGCCAGTGACTGGTTGTTGTGCTTTTCTGAACTTCGGGCAAGTTTTATTTATTAAAATACAAATAAAATATCACAACATTTGCAACTGTCCTTTGTTCCTCCTCTAATAATCGGCAATAAGAATCTTTGAGTTACATGGTCTCCAATGTTCCCTTGCAATCCCTGCCACCAACTTTTTGGACATCAATTCACTGATATTCATGCAAGAGCTATGGAAGAAGCTATGCAAGACTAGCTTCTCATCAGAATTGAGAGTCCTTGGAAAACAGCATTCTTCAGATCCTAGAGGTCCCTTTTAAAGAACATTGTCTTTGTTGCTTTGCCCCAAGGTCAACCCTTCCCACTTACGTTTGGTTTTCTTCCCAGTGGCTTCTGTCACCAGGAAGAGAAGCAATGCGAGGAGGAAGAAGCTGGCAGTCTTCATCTTGTCAGAAGAGACCTTGACTGAAAGTTGAGCTGTTCCTAATTTATATGTTTCCAAAGTGGGTGTACCTGGAGTTGTATAAGGCACAACCCTGCCCTACTTATCTCCCCCTCTGCTATGCAGGTGGTATTGCCATTATTTCTTGGAATTCTATAAAAGCATATCATATCAGAGACCTTCTTCTTTATCTCCAACCCCAGCCAATCTTTATCAACACTTGTGATCATTACACACAGTTTCCTGCATTTCTGAAAGAAATTCATTCAGAACTGGAGAAGACAATTCTTTCATGGTACAAAGTATCCATACTGTGATCAAACTTTGGGCAGTACAGTATATGGCTCTCTCTGTCCTCATCTATATTATATAAATTTGTGCTTATAATTCCTTCAAGTTAACTTTGAATATATTGTACCTGACAAATAATATAGAGGTGTAAAGACACAAAAAAGAATGAACTCAAGAAATCCAACTGAAAAATTCAATGAGGCCACTAAAAACTCCAATGAAAAGCCTCACCAACAGAATGGATTGTGTTGGAGGCAGGATGTGAAGGACGGAAAACAAAATAAAGGCATTGGATCATTTAGTAAAGAACAATGAGAATTTTTTTTTAAAAAAGAACACATAAATGGAACCATGGGAGAGTTTTTGAGGCACTGAGAACAGATGTAACCTCTGAATTGTGGGCATAGAGGAAGGATGAACAATAACATAGCAAAGCATAGAGAATACATTCAGTAAAGACATAGGAAAAGATACTTTTACTAAAGAGATGCCAATTTTTGCACAAAAGGCTTACTGAACACCAAATAGGAAAGACCTGGAATATATATAATGATATATTTAAAACATTAAAAACAGAGAATGAAGGGTTTTAAAACTAACATAAATGTCAAGTCACATAAAGACAGGCCAACTAGAAAAACATGATTATTCAGCAGGAATCTTTTTTTTAAATATTTATTTATTTATTATGTATACAATATTCTGTCTGTATGTATGTCTGCAGGCCAGAAGAGGGCACCAGACCTCATTACAGATGGTTGTGAGCCACTATGTGGTTGCCGGGAATTGAACTCAGGACCTTTGGAAGAGCAAGCAATGCTCTTAACCACTGAGCCATCTCTCCAGCCCCTTCAGCAGGAATCTTTAGAGCTAGAATGGTCAAGAAAGATACAAGTTCTGAAAGATCACAACTGTCAACCAGACTACTACACTCAGCAAAACTATCTATTAAAGTTGAAGGAGAAATAAAAATATTCCATAATAAAAACAGGGTAAGGGAATTTATGATCACTAAGCCAGATCTACAAGAAGATACTGGAAGGAATTCTCTGGTTTGAAGAGAAAACTGAACACAGCATTAAGATACAGGGAACAAATAAACAACTGTAGAACATTTATCCAAAAGAGGCTAAAAAAGACCATAGGATCAACAAAATGATAGGAAATGATACATGTCTTTCAATAATAACTCAAGACTGTTAATGATCTCTGTGGTGGTTTGAAAGCAAATGGCCTCCAAAGAGAATGGCACTATTAGGAGGCATGGGCTTTATGAGAGTAGGTATGGTCTTATTGAAGGAAGTGTGTCATTGTGGAGGCGGATTTTGAATTCTCATATGCTCAAGTTACCGCCCAGTGTTAACAGTCCACTTCCTGTTGCCTTCTGATCAAGATGTAGCCATTACCATGTCTGTCTGCATGCTGCCATGCTCCCTGCCATGATAATAATGGACCAACATCTAAGTCCATGCTTCTACAGCGTCTGATTCTTTACAGAGACTAAAATACACATTTGAGGAAAGATGGCATCTTCAACAAATGGTGCTGGTGAGACTGGATGTCTAAATGCATAAGAAGGAAAGTAGAGCTTTGCCTCTCACCTTACAAAAAAATTTAACTTCAAATAAAAAACCTCAACACAAGAGCTGGTACCCTGGCCAACCACTGGCCTGAGCTCTGGGAGTCCAGTCAAAGAGAGGGAGGAGGGATATATGAGCGACGGGGGTCAAGATCATGAAGGGGAAACCCACAGAGACAGCTGAACCGAGTTCCTGGGACATCACAGACTCTGGACCAACAGCTGGGGAGCCTGTATGGGACTGAATGAGGCCCTTTGCATGTGGGTGACAGTTGTGGGGCCCCTGACAGCGGGGCCAGGATCTACCCCTGGTGTATGAGCTGGCTCTTTGGAGCTCATTCCCTATGGTGGGATGCCTTACTCAGCCTTGATGCAGGGTGAGAGGCTTGGTCCTTTCTCAACTTGATGTGCCAGGCTTTGTTGACTCCCCATGGGAGGCCTTACCCTTTCTGGGAAGTTTATGGGCGTGTGGGGGGAGTTGAGGTAGGGAGTAGAAGGAAGGGAGAGAGGAGGAGCTGTGGTTGGTATGTAAAATGAATGATAAAAAAAGAACTGGAGCTCAGAATCTGATAAAGGAGAAAGTAGGAGATATTTTTTAACTTAAAGGCACAGGAAAGGACTTTCTGTTTAAGATTTCAGCAGTGCAGGCATTAACATATGGAAATTATTAATTATAATTATCAATTGTAACAATGAATTATTAATAAATGGATTGCAATTAATAAATGGGACTTCATGAAGCTATAAAGCTTCTTTACAGTAAATGACACCATGACTTTGCTGAAGATGCAACCAACAAAATAGGGAAAAGCATACCAGATATACATCTGACATAAGGTCAGTGCCTACCACAGACAAAGAACTAAAAAACTAAACACTAATAAGAACAGGCCCAGAAAAACAAATTTCACATGTTTTTTTCTTATTTTCAAAAGTTAGCTTTGAATCTTGAGATACCTGTGTCCCATTTGGAATAGCAGCAGAGGCTAGGAAATTATTAAGGCACCATGGAAGGGATTTCAAAGGGAAGGAGGTAGAACTAAGAGGTGGAAACATTAAAGAAGAAGCAAGCAGGAGAGAGAGTCTAAATGTGTGTGGACGGAAGAGCAAGGTATGGGGGGAATAGTACAGATGGGTCACTAACACAAAAGACCTCTCAAAAAGTCATATAAGAACCTACTACTGTAGAAGCTTCCTAAAATACACACATACACATATATAAAGAGTTTAAATGGAGTTACCCTATAATAGAACAACGATGTCCCTACTAGACACCACAGAGTAACAAATCAAAAGCCCAGTGTTAGAAATGTTTACCTCTATAGCAATTGTCAGTCACTGAGGCCCCCTAGCTCCCCAGACATTACAAGCAAGTGCCAATGTTCTCAGTTATCTCCAAAACTAGACATAAGACCCTATTGCTGAAGATACCATATACTTGAATCATAGAACATGGGGAATTCAAACCATTGTTGGCCTGGAAGCCTTGTTCCTACTGGCTAGATCTCATATGCTGGAAGGTGCTATGCATACTTCCAGAAGAGAGAGTAATCATCAATCTCACCTAACTGTATTCCCTATGAGCTATAATGATGGGCAGCCTGGCAAGACATGCCCACTGATGCAATGACGAGGCAGTAATCAACCATCTGACTGAGTTTGAGGACCTCTCCACAAGTTGAAAAAACATACCTGGCACTGTAACTGGGCCCAAGACACTGTGGCTAGACACCCCATAAGTTGTGGGGGACAACCTACCACTTTATTCTGCTAAAGAGACAAAGTATTAAACTGACTCCTAATGACTTATCATTTACTTACAGATTAACACATCTTTCCAGCCTTAGCAGAGAAGCTTCCCGTCCCCCAGTAGATGATGATTTACATGGAGACGCACAACTGGTCAAGTCATAGAGAAGAAGAGATGGCATACTGTTTAGCCCTAGATGGGACCTTTCTATCACACCCTCTCTGCCAAAGGCCCAGGGACCCTGTAGAGCCTGGGTCAATGCTAAGAGCCAGAGGCAATGGCAGACTGCAAGGAAACTGTTTTCTGGATCTGGTAGGACCGTTGTACACACAGACTCAGCACTTGCGGCAGCGTGCACAAGGTCTGGAGAAGATCAAGCCTGGCAGAATCCAGGGTGGAAAGGGACGGTAAGCATAAAGCCCCACTTGTTGCTGCAGAGCTATTGGCAGCTGATGGCTGGGGGAGGGTATAGTGAGCTTTATCTAAGGTTGTGGCCCCTAATAGGATGCTCCATGTGGAAGGCCAAAATCTAGGAGTATAAGGGTAACACAAATTGCATTTGATTGAAAAAAAAAAAAAAACAACCCAAGAGATAAGAAAATAACCAGATGGCTAGAGAAGGATGTTAATTTTGATGAAGTTAGGGGAGGAGGTAAAGATGATCAAAGTACATTGAATGAAATTCTCAAAGTAATAAAAATAAGAAAAATGCCACAAGTTAAAATAAAAGGGAATTTATTGTGAATGCATGATACAGTCTCATAGACTAATTAAATACTGGCCACCTAGGCTGGTTCCATAACTCAACCTTCATGCACATTAGAGAGCCATCGGTGTGTAGGTATGTATATAGTATGTTGCTTTTGCCATGTGACCAGGAGTGATATAGCAGGATCATAGATTTGTCCTGTTGTTAGTTTGGGGGTGGGTGGGTGTTGCTTGTTTGTTTTTAGAAACTTCCATACTGTTTTCCAGAGTGGTTGGATGAACTTGCATTCCCACAAGCAGTGTGTGAGGATAAAGACTAAATTTCACAGGCTCTTAAGATGGCATGCAAGCTGCTATGGGAGGGAAACAGTCAATATTCTGGGTGTACGTTTGTACAGGATGTAAGGCAGCATTTGACTTAGCTATCTACATGTCGATATTCAATGTTGCCAGCACTAATTGTTAAAGAGGTTGTCTTTATTAAAGGTGTCACCTTTGTCAACATTGTGGTGAATAGAACTGCATGGGTTTATCTCCGAGTTCTTCATCCTATTCTATTTATTTTGGTTTTTTTTTTTTTTTTGTGTGTGTGTGTGTGTGTGTTTCTATCTTGCTGGGTTTGATTCTCTGGTTCTGCTGGGCAAGTTGATATAGGGGACTTGCTATTGCTCAAGCATTGCTTCTTCTGATCAAGATTACTTTGGGTGCTCAGGATCTTTTAAAACAGGAATTTTAGAATTGATTTCTATATTTCTGTAATAGTATCTATAAAATAAAAGGCCAGGCTATGTAGAACTTTCTGGTCCTTCTGATTGAAGTTTCCAGTGTTTTTCAAGGATGCATATGAATATGTGGGTAACCTCAGAGAGAAAGCAGAAGCAGGGAGAAAAATGTACATTTAGGATCTGGCAAGCATGATTTAAATCATTTAAAAGTTCCATTTGCTACTTATGGGACTTGGCATGTACACCAGATATTAAGAACTCAGTAATAGGAGGAAAAATATGCCCCACATTCATATTTTTTTAAAAAAATTTCCCATTGGCATATTCTCATTGCATATGGTACTGGGTTATACAATGTCATTTTTATATAATTATATCATATACTTTTAGTATCTTCACCCATAACCCCATGCCCTCATTAATCTTATATCTTTCTTTTATACCTGGATTCACTATGAAAAATACACTGGGATCCTAATATCCTGTCTGAGGTTCCATAGTTATCTTTCAGAAAAACAAGCAAACAGAAGAAGAGAACAACCAATGACCAGCCTCGAGAATACTTGAGTTACATCATGTTCCGTGTACAGAATGAGACAGGGAGCCGATCTTCCACTCAGTGATGGGTGTTACCCCACTGAGGGGTGATCAGGAGCCCTTGTTAAGAAATAAGATCAGGTACCCATTGTTCATCAGCCTTGACATTTTTCCTGATCACACAGCCTCACATTCAATGCAGAACAAATGATATCAGAAACTATCTTCTCACATCTAGGACATGATAACTGAGTGCCAAAGAGGAGGCTTCCAGGTTATCTGATTCAGAGAGTGCCCTGTGATGGCGAGTGGCTTTGAATTACGGAGAGCTAACTTCTGAGAAAGGTCATACTTGGTAAATTTAGTTTATCTGAGTTCAGAGAAATGGCTGGTAGCAAGGAGGAACACACTTTAAAATGAAGGGGCAAGACCAAGGAAAGCATCAAAGGAAAGGCCAAGTAAAGGGAGGCAGATGCCGTGCAGTCCACGTTCTTGTCCTTCAGTCTGAAACCAGCCCCCTTCTTCCTCATGGTTTAGCTATCACAGCGCTGGGTTCTGTTCTGACCACGGTTTTCATTGCATCTGTCACGTCTCTCATCCTCTATTACTGACGTGAAGACAACTCCAGCATCCTCAATGTTTAGTTGTTGGGACTGAATAATGGGAAAGAGTTTTCTAAAATCGTTAGTAAATTCAGTGGCAAACCAACGTGGAAACATACTGAGTTTTGTTTTGCTTTGCTTTGCTTTTGTACCTGTTCTGATTATTTTATTGATTTATATGAGCATTCTTGATCTTAAAATAATCTATAGCTGGTATTGGATAAGCAATTGGTGTGCTCTTCCCCGGGGAAGACTATTTCCTCCTCTCTCAGCACTCCTGAATTGCCTGCAGTTCTCTGTATAAGGTTGAGGCATCACGGTCTTTCCCTCTTCCATATTAGTATGTTTATTGTTGTGATCGTTATTTAGCTCCTATTTAGGTAGCCATGTAGGTGACAGTTTATGGGTGTAGCTTGTGACATTACTAGGAGACACAATCTCAAAGCAAACTGTCTGGTCTTCTAGCTCTTTCCATACTCCCTCCTGTAGTGATCCTTGAGTCTTCGGTACAGAAGTGGTCTGAAGATGTATAGGCTGGGACTGAACTCCACAACTCTGCATTTTGATTGGTTATGATTTTCTGTAATGATCCCCTTTAAAACACATGGTAGGGACTATTTGTCAATTTTCATAAACTCAGTGTTTTATTATTCCTAGAAAAGTATTTCTCAGAAAATAAAAAATAATGCTATAATCCTAGGATTTCTGGGTTCTATATGCTCTTGTGAAAGTTAGTATCTCTTTACAATTTCTCAAAACTGTCCAATGTAACACCGAGAAGAATAAATAAAACCACATAAACTCCATTCCTTCCACAGAACCAGAAATCCAAGAATAGAAAAAAGTTTAAATTCCACTTATAAAAATATCAACAAATTGTGAACGTAGTTAATTCTTGTATACAGGACTTTTCCCTTTGTAAAGAATAAAGTAGGGCCCAGAAATGTGTGTGCAAATTAAGGGGAAAAAAGGAAGAGCTAACGTGGAATCAACCTCATACCCAGTACACGGATGTGAGCACGAAGTATCAAAGCAGGTGCTGGAGTTCAACAGGCTCAGGCAACGGTCCTGCAGGCCTTCCCAACTCTGCAGCTGCCACAGCTAATGGCCAATATTGCGACAATAAAACTAACTAAAGTCATTACTCTCTCTATAATGACTCAGTTCTTATCTAACGTTTTGGTTTCAGGAACTCATCCAAAATACCTCATTGCATTTCTCTTTGTCTGAGAATGGAGCTGGTATACATATTTTTAAAATTAATTTTTTGGGAATTTCACACATTGTACTTTGATCCTATTCACCCACTTCACCAGCTTCTCCCAGATTCACTATCCATTCCATAGGCATCCAAATTTGTGCCTTCATTGTAAGCTTTTAAACATTTCTAAGTTCCATATATGACTATTATATTGACATCATTTCTACCATTCCCCCGCCTCTTATATGTCTCCCTTATCGTGACATCTTCTTTAATTATAATTGGTGTGTGTGTGTGTGTGTGTGTGTGTGTGTGTGTGTGTGAAACAGAATATGCCGAATCCATTCAGTGTTGACCATATCTAGCCATGTTTTGGATGGATGTTTTGACTGGATAGCCTATTAGGGGTCTTGTCTCTAGAGAAGACCAATATTGCGTTTCTCAGCAGCGACTCATTTCCTGTAGCTCCAAATGCATGAGTGGAGGGATTGCGAGTCCTGTCTGGACTCCATGGTCATTTCCATCGTTCCAACTGTTATTCTGTGCAAGTTGAGGGCTTGGCTACTCTGAGAGTCAGTTCTTAGCATTGGAGCTGCCTTTGCATCATAACCTTGGCTTCTTGGAGCCATGGCAGGTCCCAGTGACTTTTCATCCTTTGGTTTTTGTCAGGTTCCCGGTCGCTCTAGAAGACTTCTACTGGGAGACAGCAAATGTCCGAGCCCTGGGGTGAGTGACTCCTGAGTATGTCAGGAAGTCAGGGAAGTGAACAGAGTAAGGAAGTCTCCGCTGACACTGATGATGGAAGGCAGTCATATTTTGCACAATGGGTTAAACATGGACATTGATTATTGACCTGTTAAAAAGATCCATTTTCTACAATCATTCTTCTCCAAGTCAGCTCTCCATAGAAGAGTTCCTGCTGGTATTTCCTCAAGGGAAGGACATGGAGTAGTGGAGAAGTCAGCAAGAAAGGGAAGTGATTTGCCTTCTTGGTAATTTCAAATCTTTTGACTGGCATCTCTATTGAGGACTCAGTTATCTTCAGTTTAGAACAAAGAGGTCAGATTAGCAGGTGCTCAGAGCTCCTAGATAAAAGCCAGCATCCTCGTGTTCTGTTTGGTGACTGAGTACCTTTATGTCCGTTCCTCCCATGAAAACACAAGTGAACTTCACCTTAACCCTCCACACAGCATCCTTCTAGGTGAACTACATTTGGGGATAGAGAGACTGAAAGGACTTTTTCCACAAGCCTTGTCTTAGATGCCCTGCCGGGCTGCTGTGAGAACATGCAGGCTCTCTGCAGAGATGGTTAATTCTACTGTGCTCTTCCCACACCACATCTGCATGGGAAAGTAAAGGCCAGCCTTACGAACCATTGGGGGTCTTCTCGCAGTTGTAGGGTACTGCACTTTTATAGGATGTGGACAGGTTCTCTTGGTTTCCAGTCTCAATACAGTCTTAGAAATCTTATATTAACACATCATATAGTTGATGACTGAAGTTGTTTTCATTTGCAAAACACTTTTCCCTCATTGAGAGGGCACTGTGATTTTAGGTGATTACATGAAAATACCGAAATGAGGAAACCAGGGTCCTTTCTCCTTGTTTCAACCAAACACAGTCATTCCTATTTCTAGCCAAATATATCCCATACTTGAAAAGCCCTCTGCAGCTTCCCTCTTGCGATGCAGCCCCAATGCTTGCTCCATAGAGCACAGAGCACTCCTGCACTTGTGTCCTCTGCTCCCATCCTGCAGGTGATGGCCTGCCATACTGTCCTCATGGGCTCTCATCAGAACTACAAAGGAAAAAAAGCTCTGGAGGGTTTCCATACAAGTCAGTAGTAAGGTTAGGCATTTTAGAGTTACTTTTATGTAGCTGTTTCTCAGTTATTACTGAATTTTCTTTGGAATCCTTACATCTGCCTTCTTTCCTGATTTTTTTTTACATCTATGAATAGACCTTTTGAGAAAAAAAAAAAACAGATCTGTGTCCATGTCATCCAGAGAGAAGCAAAGGTGCACATCGTCTTCGTGGTACAGCAGGACACTAAGTGGACCACGCCCCACACTCGAACCACAAAAGCTTGGACAGGCCCAGGTCACTCTTGTGATCTCTGCCTGGAATTGCTTCTGGAAACATCATGTGACGATCTTGAGGTGGCGATAAAGATTTTCTGGGACATGTGGGGTTAGACAAAGACTCCGACATCATGTGTCTACGGTCTCTAGGAATATTGACAATATCTCCTACTGAGAGGAGGGCAGAGGCCCCATGCCAGATAAGTGGGAACGGGTAAGGCCTTTTGTGACTCCAGCCACATCTATGCACCCAGCAAGCAACATATAAAGCAATGGTCAACTGAGCTCTCAGTGAAGGCCCCTCCTGGTGAGATGAAGTCCGTCTTCTTCAGCCTTTCTCTGCTCCTCCTTCTGGAGAAGCAAGCAGCTGGGATAGGAATCTACGGTGAGTGCAGGGAGTCGCCTGGCAGGAAGGCACCAGGGAGAATGTCCACAGAGGTGCTCTGGCAGGGAGAAGAATCCTGCACGGGGTGATCTTGATGGATGCTGTCTGTTCTCCACCCAAACCCACTTGCCTTGTGGGTAACTCAGTGGGTTGACGGGGAAAATCCTGGGATAAGACTAGAGGGGGCTGTACAGACAGTGTAACTCAAACATTCTTTTTATCAATTACCAGGTGAGACAAAAGGACACTTTCTAGTAAAAACGTCCCCAGTTGTATATTTCCAGAAAGACCATTTCCAGTATGGGTCCAGAAGAGCACAGGAGGATGGAGCTGAAGAAAGCAGTTTTGAGCAAACTAAGCACCGTGTGTATGGCCAGGATGCTGATGCTGACCTGGGAGAGACTCAGAGCTCACAGCAACAGACAGGTGTAAGCGAAGACATAGCTTGTAATGAAGAAGATGAGATTAGCCAACAAAAATCCCGACTTCAGTCCCATTCACAAATAAAATCCCAAACACAAGTAAAATCCCACGTAGCCCAGGTGAAGTCCCAAACAGGCCAGCTCAAGACCCTAGGCCAGGTGAAATCACAAATCAAGCTGAAATCCCACAGAGCCCCTCTGAAATCCTCCCAGGCATCACAAACTCTCCAGGAAGCCTTTCCTCAGCAAATCAAGGGCAAAGCACATGCCCTGGATGAAGACCAGGCCCAAGTGCGTCAGCAGCATAAAATGGTTCACAGGCTCAAAAGCAGGCTTGGCTGGGCCAAGAGAGCAGCAGAGTTCCTTCCGTATTTCAGACAGCACTTCCATGGCTATGATGAGTATTTTGTGCAGTTTCAAGGACAACTGCAGGGTGGAATTCATCCCACAAAGCCTTTCCACCAAGCTCAACAGACGTGCTACTGTCCAAACGGAGAGTTAATCCTGTATCAAGACGCCTTCACAGAATAACACGTTCCCTATCGGTCAAGGCCAGGACACATTTAGAGGTAAGTGTCTCAGCTGGCGGGAGAGCTACCTACCCAGTGTTTGTAGGTGGAACACGGGGGACTGCCTGGGCCCAGTGTGAGATTGGTAGTGAGGCCCACAGCAATGGATGTGCTGACAGCAAAGTGTGTGGAGCTGAGCTCCATTCTCTGTGAAGCAAGCACCCGGCAGAGGCAGAGCAAGCTACCTGAGCTCTCAGTGTGCCTCAAATTCCTCTTCTTAGGGAGTCTCTTCTACATTTATTTTGCACATGTGCAGCTATTCTGCTCTGAACACACAGCACTTAGAAGATCATGTAAATTTAAGATGTATTTTTGTAACTTCTTATGCTTTCCATGGATATGGTTCACTTTCTTGCTACGTTGTTACAAAGCATGAGTGCTTTTGTTTCACATACCAATTAGTGTTCTTCCATCCCATATAGGGTTCCCTTATCCTATAGAGACTACTGATCCATGGGGTTTTGCTTCATCTTTGTGAATAAAGGCAGTAAATGAGTCCTAAGAACCATCCCTGTTTGTGATGCGGGAACTGTGAAAAGGGAGGCACCAGGGTGGTGAGGGGTCCGTTCCAGGGGATGTTTGCTCTATCAGGAGAGAAATCTTCCGCCCACCCGGGGAGGAAAAGGATCTCACCTGCATGTTTGCATCAAGGGGCACTTCGTGTGAAGGGAAGGAAAGCAACAGAACTGTGGGCCCAGTGACCAGTCGTGGCTCCAAATGGCCATAATTTGGTCCAAGCAGACAAGGGACCTGGCCACACTCACTTCCTGTCTGTTGGTTTTCACTCTTGTGCATGCCCATCTATGTCCTCTCTCCAGAGGAGTCGCCTGACCTGTGTGGACCGTGATGTCTTCAAGATGCCGACTCCCTTGCCGTCCTAGATGCTCTTGATCCCCTCACACTGCTGCCCCTAAGGCTTTCTTACCTGGGCGCATCCTCACACCAATGCTCACTAATAAAGAGATCCTATCTGACTTCATTTGCTTTCGAGTATTGAAATCTCCATTTCCTACTAGTTTTGGGGCTTGATAGCATCCCTTCAAATGACAGTTCCAAATTGAAGTGTCAGAACATTCTTGTAGCATTACAGATAATAGCAAACACGTGTTTCCCAATAAAGACAATAGTTCGGCATCAGTTGCTTTTAACATGTTTCTATGCTATGATTACGTGTGTGTGTGTGTGTGTGTGTGTGTGTGTGTGTGTGTGTGTGTGTATGAGTGCATATTCTTGCCTGCCAGGTATGCTTACGAAGTTCAGAAGATAACTGAACTTCGTAAAGTAGTTCTCTAAAGTAGATTGGTGCTCCCAGGAGCAGATATATCTCATTGTCATTAAAAAAAAAAAGAGCTCATGTTACTAAAACATATTAAATGCCATATTCTGTAGATCTCTGAAGTGTTTGAAGATGGCCTATCTGTCTAAAATATATTTCTGTTTTACCTTGAAAACATACCTAATATGACTACAAGTTTGATTATAATAAGTGATTAACTACTAACCTGCATTTCCCTATTATCCTAAATAGTTGGCAATATTAATATTCAAGGACTAGAAATTTGCATTACATTGTTAAACGAGTTGTATAGGTACAGTACCTTGAAAACGATTAGAAATGTATGTACTAACAAAGTTAATCTCAAATTTGTGTCAATATGCAAAATTTGTATACAATATACAAAAGTCCAATCCAGTGCAAAACATTTAAAACTAGTAGTCACTTTTTAAAAAGTAGATGAAAAAAATCTACCCTTTTATCTTATTATATCTGTGTTCCCCTTTTTTCTTTTCAAAACAAGAATTTGGATCTAATTTTGTTTAGCTTTGGGTAACAACAAGCAATCCCCCTAAACAATGACAAATATTCATAACCCATTGAACAACAAAAAGCCATCCACCTCATCTCTTGGGAATGTGGGTGTCATATTCTTAAATTTATTTGCTGCTATCTGGGAGCAACAGTAACTTTAGGGGATCCTGAAAAGAAAATATTGAGTTAATTGTCAAGTCCTGCACAGGTAGCAGTATCATTTGCTGTCTAGTCTCTGTGTAATGGGGAAGTGCAGGGCTTGAGTCCTGGCTAGAGTAGTCGGTCAGACTAGATCACCTCAGCTAGCCACCTCAAAATTGTTCTGAGCAGTTTGTAGTCCAAAACCGATCTTTAGGTGGTGTTTTTCAGCTTAGTGGTATTATAGTCATGGAGGAATTGTCATTGTGGGGCCCCATCCTCCTTATGGAAACTTCAAAGGTCGCTGTTAGGCTTGCTCATGGCTCACTGCAGAAAACTGATAGAGACTCAAACCTGAAATCATGTACAGGAAGGTAGGTAAAAAATTTTTGTAGTATTACTTAATACTCTTTATGGTCATACAGGTTAATATAACAAAAGTTTAATATAGATATGTATATATACATATAGATAGATATACATATCATATTAATCTTATATACCTTCCCCCTCTCTGTCCTTCCCCACTTCCTGAGCATATTGTTCCCTCGTGTTCTCCTCCTCCCCCTTCCCTTCTCCCCTCCCCTCTCCTTCCACCCTTCCATCTCCCCCACACACTCCCAATTTTCTCAGAAGATCTTGTCTGTTTCCCCTTCCCAGGAGGATGCCTATATGTTTTTCTTTGGGTTCTCCTTCTTATCTAGCTTCTCTGGGATTGTGGACTATAGGCTGGTTATCCTTTGCTTTACATTTAATATCTACGTATGAGTGAGTACATACCATGTTTTTCTCTCTGGGTCTGGGTTACCTCACTCAGGATGGCTTTTTCTAGTTCCATCAATTTGCCTGCAAATTTCAAGATATTGTTTTTTACTTCTGATCATTGTCCACAAAGGCAGGATACCTGCCACAGAGACACATGCACGTTGGTGTTGCAGCCCTGTTCACAATAGCAAAAGTGTGGAATAGGCCCAGATGTCTACCAAAAAATGATTGACTAGTATATAATTTAGTTTTAATCAATCATAAAGAGAATAAAATTATGTCATTTGTAATAAGAGAGAGAGAGGAACACACAGAGAGAATTGAATTGGATGTCACTATGTTAAATGAAATAAAACGGAGTCTCTCTAGGATCACGAATTATAGGCTCAATGTCCTTTATTTATGGCTAGAAACCAAATATGAGTGAGTACATCCCATGTTCCTCTTTTTGGGTCTGGCTTACCTCACTCAGAATAGTGTTTTCTATTTCCATCCATTTGCATGCAAAATTCAAGAAGTCATTGTTTTTTACTGCTGAGTAGTACTCTAATATTTCTTCATCCATTCTTCCATTGAAGGGCATCTAGGTTGTTTCCAGGTTCTGGCTATTACAAACAATGCTGCTATGAGCATAGTTAAATAAAAGGTGAACCCAAAGAAAGACATATAGTCATCCTCCTGGAGATTAACTTACATCGGGCGATGAAAGCAGACAGAGACCCAAATTGGAACACCGGACTGAAATTCCAAGGTCCAAATCAGGAGCAGAAGGAGAGAGAGCACGAGCAAGGAACTCAGGACCGCGAGGGGTGCACCCACATACTGAGACATTGGGGATGATCTATCGGGAACTCAACAAGGCCAGCTGGACTGGGTCTGAAAAAGCCTGGGTTAAAACCGGTTTCACTGAACATAGCGGACAATGAGGACTGCTGAGAAGTCAAGAACAATGACACTGGGTTTTGATCCTACTGCACGTGCTGGCTTTGTAGGAGCCTAGGCAGTTTGGATGCTCACCTTACTAGACCTGGAAGGAGGTGGGAGGTCCTTGGACTTCCCACAAGGCAGGGGACCTGGACTGCTCTTCAGGCTGATGAGAGAGGGGGACTTGATTGGGGGAGGGGGAGGGATATGGGAGGCGGTGGAGGGAAGGAGGCAGAAATCTTTAATAAATAAATTAATTAATTAAAAAAATAAAAATTAACCTTTGAGAAAAAAAGAAATAAAACAGAGTGATAAAAATAGATACCATATGCTTTTTCTTGCATGGAAATCTTGTGTGTGCATGTGTGCGCACGTGCATGTGTGTGTGCACTTGTGTATGTGTGAGTGCATATACCTAAGACAGGGACAGTAGGGTAAATAAAGGCAAGCAGTAAGAGGTGGAAGAGAACAAGACGAGGCAATGGAGGCTGAGGGTGAGCCAAGTACTCGAAGTGAATGTGAGGAAATGTCACAAAGAAATCCATTCCCTGTGCTGTGCTGAAGAAGGAACATAGATAAAAGCACAATCGTCAAATCTGAGATAGGGGAGCTACGTGGTACCCTAGGAATCTGTCTAATCCTTTTCCATTGCCCTAAGCAGCCCTTGGAGATTAGACTGAGAGAGTGCGCAACTAACATTGAGCACAGTGCCTGTGAGCTCAGTACTTACTGTGTGCCAAGAACCAGTTCTTACTGAGCTTAGTGATAAACAGATAGGATGATGCTGATCTTATTCATGGGTCAAAGAACAAAGTCCTGTCCAGTCCTCTGAGCCAAAGACACAGATAACAAAAAGGAGAATAAGATTGGAAAAAGAAAACAAAATATAACAGGCAAACAAAAATCAAAAATGCAAAACTAACTAGCATGATATTTTAAGAGCAGAATTCAAGGAAATTTGGAAAAAGAATTTCAACATAGAAAATTAATGTAATAATAATGATGAGACTCATGACGTAAAAAGGAGATGGGTACCTGGTGGAAAATAAGTCATAGACATGGTGTCTTCACGCTGAAAGGAAAAAGTCAACCTGAAACAATGAAGAAAGGGAACTTGAGGATGCTTGAAAGCCACAGTTACCAAGTGCTTGGCAAACTAAAATATTGTGTTTGAAATACTAGCTGGAGCAACAATGCAAGAGGAGGAAATCAAAGGGACACAAACTATCCCTATTTGTAGAACACATGATGCTATACACTAGAGATTTCAAAGGTTCTACCAGAGAATATCTAGAAATGATAAAGTATTCTAAAATTAATGAAACCACAAAGACCCCAGATAGCCCAAATAATCTTGAACCAAAAAAACAATGCTAGAAGAATTACAATTCCAGGTCTTAAACTATATTACAGAGCCAGAGTAATAAAAAACAATATGGTACAAGAGAAATGGAGATTAATGGAACAAAATTGAAGACCCAAACATAAGGACACATAACTTCAGCCATTTAGTATTTGACAAAGATGCCGTCAGGGGAATGCCAATCAAAATGACTTTGAGATTTTGTCTTATACCTGTCAGAATGGTTAAGATCAATAACACAAGTGGCAGCTCATGCTGGCAAGGATATAGAATTGGGGGAACATTCATCAATTATTGATGGGACTGTAAAATTGTACAGCCACTGCGGAAATTAGTGTGATGGTTCTTCAGGAAAGTGTGAGTAGGTCTACCTCAAACTCCAGCTATACCACTTGGGTGTATATTTAAAAGACATTTCATCCCATCCTACCACAGAGAAACTTGCTCAACCATGTTCATTGTTGCTTTATTCCTAGTAGCCAGAAACTGGAAACTACCTAGATATCCCTCAGCAAAAGAATGGATAAAGAAAATGTTGTACATTTACACAATGGACTATCACTCAGCAATTAAAAGAAAATGTCATCAGGAAGTTTACAGATAAATGAATGGAACTAGAAAAATCTTTCTGAGTGAGGTATCCCAGACCCAGAAATACAAATGTAGAATGTATCTGCTTCTATGTGGATATGAGCTGTTAAACCAATGAAAACCAACCTACAATCCATAGAACCCGATTTGACTAATATCCACTCCGCAAGATGCAAAACATACCCAAAACTTGAATGGCCAAGGACCAGAGATTAGGTAGCACAGGGACCTTGAGTAAACCCAAATACTACTAGTCTAAAAAAATCCAAACAAACAAATAAAAACTCATAGCAATAAATTATTCCTAAAGATATTCTGTTATACTCATAGATCAATGTTTTGCTCAGCCATCATCAGAGATGCTTCCACCCGCAGCAGATGAGAACAAATACAGAGACCCCACAGACAGACATTATTCACAGAGTGAGAGACCTTGGAACACTTAGCCCTAAACAGGATACCTCCATTACATTCCTCCCCTTAGGGCTCAGGCAACTCCATGGAAGAGGAGATGGAAAGAGTGTAAAAACCAGAGGGGACTGAGGACACCAAGGACACAAAGCCTTCTACACACAGTTGGTCTATGAGCTCACAGAGATGGGGCAGCACGTGCCGGGCCTGCACAGGTCTCTACTGCTCCTCTGCTTAAATATTATGGCTTCCAGTTTAGTGAGGGTTTGTTTTGTTTTGAGGGGATTATTGCTGTTGGGTTTGTTTGTTTGTGTTTTGAGGGTTTTTTTTGGGGGGGGATGGGGTTTTTCATTGTATATAGTCCTGGATGTCTTGGAACTCACTGTGTAGACCAGGCTGGCCCCAAACTCGGAAATTCACCTGCCTCTGCCTCCCAAGGGCATGCGCCACTACTGCCTGGTATGGAATTCCTGAGTGTGAGAATAATTGGGTCTCTGATTCTTGGGTCTTTTCTTAGGCTCTTTATGTTTTAAGCAACTGCAATGTGGTAGTTTTCTTTTTATTTATTATGTTTTATTTTATTATTATCCCTTAGAAGTCTATTTTTTTAATGAGAGGTGGAAAGGGAGTGGATCAGGATGGGATGGGAGGTCGGAAGGAAATAGGAGGAGTAGAGGAAGGAGAAGCAGTAAGGATATATTATGGGAGAAAAAAGTCTCTTTTCAATAAAAGAAATATACATATATATATAATTTATAAACTTTATTATAAGAAACAATGTAAAAATACCACATACCAAAATTGATCAGAAGTCTATGTATCTTAATGAACTTATCTACTATATATTTTGTCATTTCTCCTTCCCTTTCCTTCCTCCAACCTCTTCTATGCCTCCCCCACTCCTAAAATTTATGGTTTCTTTTACTTTAACTGTTATTGTTATGTATATTTGTATAGATCAAATGCAGAGATACATAAATACAACCTGCTGAGAGCAAACCTTCTGGTACTGGGTGACTACTTAGAGGACTCAGCTCTGGGGAAAACTCATTCTCCCTCTCTCAGCCTCCCCCTCCCACATCCTTGATCAGGTCTTGTTTAAGCAGCCATGTTGTTGAAGTGTCATGGCGAAAGTTTGTCTGCCATTGCTAGGAGATCCAATCTCACAGCACCTTTCCTGGTCCTTAGCCCTTACAGTCTTTCTGCCTCTCTTTAGCAATGTTCGCCAGTCTTGGTTGTAGAATTCTGTCACTGATGTGTCTGTTGGGACTCGGCACCCCACAGGCAGTTAGTTGTTCTCTGTGTTCTTACCAGGTGTGATTCTCTGTAATGGTCTCTATATGCTGCAGGGATATAAGAGAAGCTTAGACAGGGATGAGAATTACAATTATCTGGGTATAGGATAAGTATTTAGAATTCAGCTAGGAATGATGCTGGTTTAGCCCAGCAACAGTAGAAGGGTCTTAGTGACGTCAGAAGGGTCTCCTCTAAGATCCATTACCTCACTAGCCCATGTTGAGCAGATCTCCAATACAAAGCATGATTTCTGTCTTGTTGAATGGGCCTTACATCCAGTTAGACAGCTTTTGGTTACCACCAAGATATTAGCGCTGTCACCACACCCTTAGGTTCATCTTGCCATGCTGGTCACTGGTGTGGATCATAGGCATCCCAGTTGTAGTAACAGCTTGCATACCATGCTCTGGTACGGCTTGCTCAGCTGTGTTCACTGCTGCCCATTCACAATAGACAGGAAGCGAAAACAATCAAAAAGCCCTTCAACTGGCAAACAGACAAGGAAAATAGAATACATATACACTATGCAATACTAGTCACCTGTAGGAAAAATGAAATCATAAAATTTGTGGGTAAATAGATGGAACTAGAAATATTATTTCAAGTTGGGTAACCCAGACCTAGAAAGTGCAAGTCCCACATGATCTCTCTAATTAATCTGTGGCTCTTAGCTCTGAATCTTCAGGGGCGAGCATATTACCTGGAGTAACCGTTGAAACCAAGAAAACACAGAATGTGCAATGTGAGGACTGGGAGGATACAAAGAACAGAAGGGGAAACGGTAAAGGGGGACTTTACTGGGGAGGAAGTAAGTACAATACAAAAGGGAAGGACGGAGGAAAAAAACTGATATGTTTGAAAGACCCATACACAATTAGATTATTTCTTGTTTCTCTAAAATGCCACATAAGTGTTTATGTATACCTATACATATATAGTCTAACTGAAGATATGCTACTTGGACTGACCCCAAGAGCCATAGACTATCTAACAAAAACTCCACATTTGAAACCCACATTCAGGTTGTTGGTCAGAGAAGTCCAAGAGGCACACAAAACCATACAGGCTATTGGCTTTGTCTATGGTTGCTTGTAAGAGACAGAAAGGAAGTCCCTATTGCTGAAGACACCATGCACTTTAACCACAGAACTCCAAAGAGGCAAGCTGGGTCGGTTATGACAGCCTCCTCCTGGAAGACATGGTTGAATGTGAAGGTTTATGTGAAATCAACAGAACTTCAGAATTCTATCCTTTATGAAGCATTTCAATGATGGTGCCTTAGAAGACATTCATTGCTGGAGAATGAAGGCATGATCAAGTCCTGTATATTTTTTTGCAGCCTGAAGTCTCTTCCCCACTCTGGACTGAAATATATTTGGGAAGTACAGAAGTTTCTGTGTGATGTTCTCAAAATATAAGGGAAGATTTCGGAGAATGCTCTGATGTGTCCTTGCAGGAAATAGCATCAAGATTCCTACTGAGCAGAGAGAATGAAGCTGACATTTACAGATAAGAAAGGTCACTGCCTTTCCTATCTGCAGGCAAAGCCAGTCAGGAAATATATAAAGGAGAAGCTCAGCTCACCTCTCAACCAAGGCGCTTCCTAGCAAGATGAATCCCACCAGCTTCTTCCTCCTTACATTGCTCCTGGTTCTGGTGACAGAAGCATCTGCAAGGAGACCCCGTGGTGAGTGACAAGTTTGTTCTATGGGAAAGATATTTGAAAAAAATGTTGTCAAAGGGGTCCACTTGGATTCTGCAGAATGCTGTGTTCCCAGGGCTTCTATCCCTGATGCTGACTGAGTCTTTTTTGAGTCTTAGCCATGTTTTACGTGACTATCAGTGATGTGGCAAACAAAATGTTAGTATTGAGGGGCTGCAGAGGTATGTGGGGCACCAGGTAACAAAAGCACCCTCATTGTCAGCTGTGAGGGGATTTGACAAGTAGATCATTCCAACTTCTAACTAGACTAATATTTAGACTAAAAGGTCAATGACAAAACAGCAGCAAGGTAGATCTGAACACAGGTCCATCACCGGAGCTGAAGCACGGGCTCTCGACAGTGTCCCGATGCACTGATCCAGAATATACAGAAGGATGGACATAGGGAGTGAGACATTCTTTTCTCTCCACAGAAAAGTTCTCACAATCATCTGAAGAACATTCTAGTGAAATCTCTGAAGTCGGCGGGAGCAGTGGGGGATCAAGTTCTGCCAATGAGGAATACAGCCGGAGTGAGAGCTCGTGGAGTTCCTTTAAATCAAAAAATCCAAAGAGCAGCGTCAGTGAGGAAGGCTCATGGAGCAGCTTTAAGTCAAAAAGTGCAAAAAGCAATGTTGGTGAGGAAGGCTCTGATGGTGACAGAGGCAGCGAGTCTGCAGGGAAAATAGAGTGGTCTTACACACAGAGAAAGGAAAAGCAACGTTTTGGACAAGAAGTAGCTAAGTAGCTGAAGATCCAGATCAATACAAAGGTAAGGATATTGCTAGGGGAGGAAGACACTCACTCCACGGTTTAGAAGTTGTGCATAAGTACTTCCTGGGCGGTTCAGAGGAGCTGTGCAATGTGACTTTAGGAAAGGAGAGGAAAATGCCTGGCAGAGTAGAGAAAGGCACTGAGCTGTGACTGAGTCTTGAATTCCTACTTTAGTGTGTTTTCAGTCTATTCCCCTTGTATACGCCAACAAGGAAACAAATCTTACTCTGTTCCACATGTACAAGTCCACTTGTCAGGTTGTAATACAAGCTTGTTAATTCTTGGAATTTCGTTTGGCATGACTTTTTTGTGCTCATCATGGAATGAAGTGTTACAGTATTATACTCTTCCCATTCCGCACACCCCTGTTCGGATGCATAGTCTTTCAAAGACTATGGGTTTAAGAATTAGCTTCCATTTCCCTCTCAACGAAACAAAGAGACATATCAGAAAGAAGAGTGCCTATTTGTGACACACTAGAGCTGAAAGTATCAGTAAATTACAGAAACATGGGTGGCCCCCTTCCCCTCTGCCCTCCACTGACACAGTTCACAGGTTGCACTCTTTTCCTTAAGAGTCACCTTGTCTGAATGAAGCCTGTGATATCTTCAGGATGGAGACTCCTGTGAAGTCCCAGAGACAGATCATGGATTTCGATTCTTTCTCATACTTGTTTTTCTTTTTTTGAGGTTCTCAACCTCAGCATTTATTAAAACACTTTCTTTCCAATAAAAAGACAACATTCTGCATCAAATTTTGAGCCTTGAAGTCTCTTCCTTCTTCCACTTATAGGGTGGATTTAATAGTTCCGCAATTAGAGGAAGTGACCTTCTTGTGTTTCTGGTGTGCTCATACACATTTCCTAAACTCTATGTAGAAATCCATTATTCAATAGAAAACACTAAAATTCTGACAGTCACCGTATGGACCCTAAATCTCCTCTTGACCCTATTCCTTGTGGGATTTCAAACTGGCAACCTAGGAAAAGTAAGAAAATACTTCTTTCAATAGACCATGGTAAATTCCCAAGCTACAGGTGCCTCCTGTCCCACCAGCCCACAAAAGTACTTCTTTGCACTTGGTTCAATGATTTTGCTCATGGTTATATATCCTTTTAAGATTCAATGTCCCTAAGTGCGATACATAAAGCATCTCTATCTTCTGCAAAGAGAGATACACAAGGCCATCTGTGGCGATGACACCAGAGGACCGTCTGGCTAGGGAGGGTGTCTTCAAGTGCAAATCCTGTTGCTCGAACACCTTTCTATGAGCTATTTATGAGAAGTCCAGGAGGCAAATAATTATTCAAAAGTAAAACCAACACAATCCGGTGGATGAGGAGTTTTATTTCCATGTGTGCCTTAGGAACACACTTATCTTCAAACCTATCTGCCTTCATTTTCTTTAAAATTAACTCTCCAGGGTCTACATGGATGTTATGTGAATATACTCATTTCAAACCTCATTAGAACATCATGGATGAGGGGCTGGAGAGATGGCTCAGTGGTTAAGAGCATTGCCTGCTCTTCCAAAGGTCCTGAGTTCAATTCCCAGCAACCACATGGTGGCTCACAACCATCTGTACTGAGATCTAGTGCCCGCCTCTGGCGTGCAGGCATACATTGAGGCAGAATGTTGTATACATAATAAATAAATAAATCTTTATTAAAAAAAAAAGAACATCATGGATGAAGCAGACCGAGGCCCGAATATTTCTGTGATTCTGCAGACAAGCATTACTGACAGGCTCTTAGCCAAGGACATGCTTGGTCTTTGTGGAGAGAGGAGAACAATTCTAGGTGTGACCAAATGGCAACTGACCTGCCTGCAACATCATGAGAACAGGGTCTCATGCCCAGAGGTCAGAGCCACTTATATACTTATGCATCCCTCATAGGTAGTAGTTAAAAGTTTTGGGGCCATCTCCTTAATGCACCCAATAAACAGAGAAAACAACATTCTTCTGCAGCTTTTTTAAAATTTTAATCCTTCTTTATTTTTTAAAAAATCTTATTTTACATTCCAATCCCAGTTCCCTCTCCCTCCTGTCCTCCTACTCCCCCCACCTTATCCCACCCCACACCCCATCTACTCCTCAGAGAGAGTGAGGGCTCCCATGGGGAGTCAATAAAGTCTGTCATATCACTTGAGGCAGGACCAAGACCCTCCCCTCCCGCATCTAGGCTGAGCAAGATAGCCCTTGTAGTGATATTTCACTGGCATTTTAGTAAATAAAGCTTGCCTGAAGGTCAGAAAAGCAAAACAGCCACCCTAGTCAGCCTTACAGACCAGGTAGGAGTGACACACACCTTTAGTCCCAGTGGCTATGCTAGTTTGCCATAGAAACCTGCAGTAATGGTGCATGCCTTTAATCCCAGAACTAGAGAGGAATATAAGATGGGAAGAGACAGCTGTCAAGCAGAGTCTCATTCTGAGGGTTTCTGGAGGCAGGAATCACCATTTCAGACTGAGGTAGAGGTAAGAGTCAGTGGCTGGCTGTTTTGCTTTTCTGACCTTCAGGTTTAACCCCAATATCTGTCTCTAGTTTTTTTTATTAATTGTGTTACAATCCCTCCATAGGGAATGGGATCCAAAGAGCCAGTTCATGCACTAGAGATAAATACTGGTTCCACTGCTAGTGTCCCCACAAACTGCCCAAGCAAGATGTGAATGCCTCACTGATAAAAGGTATCAAGCCATATGGTTATCAAGATCAAGAATTATGGGTTAATGTAAGATGTAGAATTAGTTAATAAGAAGCCTGAACTAATAGCCCATTGTATGTTGGAAGTATGTAATTTGCTTTTTTATTTTATTTTTTTGGGGGGGGGCACAACTAGTAGATAGCCTTAAGTCTCAGAAGAGACTTTGAACTTGAAAACCATCTTGAGACTTTGATAGACTACAGGGATTTTTGCAGTTGGACTAAATGCATTTTGCATTATGATATATATGGCTATAAACCTATGGGAGTCAGGAAGTGGGGTGTGGTGTTTTATATTCCTTTATAAGAGTTGCCATTGTCATGGTGTCCCTTTACAGCAATAGATCATTGACTAAGACAGTGAACACTCCAATTACCACTCCTGTATTTTATTAAGATGTCACTCACTTCCTCCAAGATAGTCTTTCTTCACATTCTTAAGGAATATTCAAAATGACCTTTCATTTTTGTATCCATTGTTATTTAAAATTTTGACATAATAATTTTTTTAAAAAGGATTTTTATAGCAGATAGAAGTAAAACATCTAAAATGCTGGCGTGGTTTTTTGTTGTTGTTGTTGTTGTTGTTTGATTGATTGATTTTTGGCAGCTTGACACAAGGCAGAGCCTTTTGGGAAAAGGAAAGCTCAATTGAGAAACTACCCCCACCAGTTTGGCCAGTGGGGAAAGCTCTGGCAATTTTTCTGATTGATGACTGGTGTGAGAGGGCCCCGCTCGCTGTGGGCAAGGGCAGTGAGACTCCTGGACTTATGATCCTGGCGCTGTAAGAAAGCGCAATGGGAAATGCATGCAGAACAAGGCAGCAACCGGTGTTCCTGGGACCCCTGCTTCAGTTTTGCCTCTAGGTTTCTGGGATGAATTCCGGCCCTGGCTTTACTTCACGCTGTGCTGTGGCTGAAGCATGTAAGGGGACATAGACCCTTTCCTCCCCAGCTCACTTTTACCACAGTAGGAACCCTAGGACAGAAGTGAAGCAACCATGCCTTGTTTCCTCCATGCACTCCTGCCTGTGTGTGTATTAAACACATTAGTGGTTAACTCTGAGTCACCAGTTACACACCGGTGTCACACTAAGGAAAGTGATCAAAGCACTTCCCCCCAGTGTCAGATTCAAATGCTCTCCATCCGGCCACCTGTGTCTCCCATCATCCTCACGAAGGGCTTCTGCTCTGTACCTATTGAACTACACAGAAATCATCACCTGCAAAAGGAATGGGATACCTTACAGAAATCTTGAACAAGGGTTTATAAGGGAGTAAGCCAACTGGTTCCAATGAACCAGGATAACAAACAGTATTACAAGCATCGCTGTTTATCAACTAATATCCAAGTGTTGAAGTCAACATTTATGGTAAATATCGATTTTAGAATATTGCTTTAGAATATTCAGCTTCTGTATTTGCTACTCCCAGCAAACGATACACAGGCGCTGTTTTGGGTGAGGCATTAAAGATTATATAACATTATAGCTATGCATTAACTTAGATTGTAAAATGGATTACATGGGGAATCCAGGCCAAGTAAGGTTGTTGATTACATTAGTACCTTAAAAGGATGCTGAGTACACATTAGGATAGTAGTCTTGAGTCATAAGTGACCTCAAGGTACATTGTTGGCTTTGACCGTGAGGTCCAGCAGGAGTTCTGGTCTCTTAGGATGTAAGAGATGTACTTACCATAATGTAGTGCCACATGACTTCGTTAGGTTTCTATAGCTATGAAGAGATGTCATGACCATGGCAACACTTGGTAAAGGACAACATTTAGTTATGGTGGCCTCTTCCGCTTTCGGAGATTTAGCGCATTATCATCATGGCGGGGAGCACGGTGGCATGCAGGCAGACGTGGTGCTGGAGCTGAGAGTCCTTACCTCTTCAAAGGCAGGCAACAGGAAGTCATGTGACTGCCACAGTGAGGGAAGCTTGAGCAAAAGGGATCTTAAAGCTCAGTGACACACTTCCTCCAACAAGGCCACACCTCCTAATAGTGTCACTCCCTTTGGGGGCCATTTTATTTTTCAAATCACCACAACACGTGTTATGAATTCTGTCTCATTGCTTCTGCATGTAACATTCATGTGCCCATACATTGTGAATCCAGGGTATGACTTAGCTTTCTATACTCTTCAACATTTAGACAGATTATATTTCTTAGCTATTCTTCAGACACATGGGTGATTTTTTTAATCTTTTGTAAGTTGCTATGTGATTTTGTGTAGAACTGGGAAAAACATTTAGTTTTTATCTTTTGTTACTTAAACATCTTGTTCTCCAATTTTATGGCTAATTTTAATATTCTTGATGTTTCTTAGCGTCTGTGAGAGCCAAAGTTACGTTTTAAGTTTTAATTACTGTACCTAAGAGACCCATAAAACAAAAACTGCCCCTAATCTGTAAGCCCCTTGCCCAAGGAAAGATACTCCCTGAAATTCTGGGGGCTATTGTTTATGTAAGATAACAAACCACATGTTTTTGCTCCCCTGAACAAGCTTGACCCAACTGCACCAGAAGTGCTCAGTCACATGTAGACAGAAGGTTCAGAGACAGGAGGTAAATCAGCACATGTTTGTCCCTAAATGAACCTGGTGGGTAATACGTAGTCTTATGGGTTGCTTTTATAAATCTCTACAAAATGTGAGTTATTGCCATTTTCTGGGAACCCTGGAATGGACCTGGCCAGTATTTATTTAAAGCTTGCTTCAAGTGCAGTGGTTTTATTCTGACCTGGTGGGAGTGACATCTTCATATGACGGAGTGACGCTTACGTCACCCTACTGGCTTTGATTGCACAATACACTGGCTTAGCACTCCCTGTGCTAAGAATCACACTCTGTGCCTTTCGTTACTTACTTTCAAAATGATCGTTCAGCAAGTTTTACTTATTAAACTAACTGGAACCAGTATGTCTGATTAACGTGTGCTTGCTTGTTTCTGCCCCCTGGGTTGCTGACTCTTGTTTTCATTCTGATGAATGCTTCTTTGAATGACTTCTGGACCTTTTTTTCAAATATGTTCCCTAGATTTTATCTGAACCTCTTGCACAGTAGATTAGATAACAGATTAATTCTTTAATCTAAAAATACAACCCCCCCAAAAAAATTAAAAAAATAAAATAAAAATAAAAATACAACCCAAGCTATCAGGTCCTTGCTTTCACAATCAGTCTCTGCACGAAGCACTCCCTGGAGGTCTCCCAAAAGGAAAGAAGTGGGAGGAGTAGGGGCCAGCAGGCACGGGAAGCAGCGTCACGTCAGGGTGGTTCCACGGTGGTCTAAGAGCTCAGCTAGGGGAGGAATCACTACACGGAGAACAAAGTGAGAACTAATGTAGCAGGGCCACATCCAGGCCACAGTTTTCCTAAAAACATGCTCCCCTCGCCTTGCACACCGTGCTCACTATAGCAGATTAGAATTTAGGAGGAGATAAATAAAAATAAACTCTACCTGTCTTACCTTCAGAACAACCCTGGCTCTGCTGGGACCACCCCAGGCTCACTGCAGGGATGTCCTTTCCTTCTCCTTCTCCTGCTGTGCCCACAGCACAGACTCCAGAACTCACTCGGAGGAGATGACAGGCTGAGAACTTTGCGCATTCCTTGAAGATCATTTTGAGTGCAGCTGTGCAAACATGCCCATGGGAAATTCTCCCCTTTAATGACGTGCTCTGCAGAAACCAGGAAAGTAGAAGGGGGCCGTTGTGAGGGTAGAGGTGTGAATTGTGATAATGAAAATATTGGGGTACAAGTAATCTGAAGGGGGTAATGGAGAATACAAGGAGGGGGAAGATACAGACGTAGAAAGAGGAAGAAGGCAAAATAACAGTAAGGATGCTGGAAAATTCATAAGGAATCATAGTGATCATAAATTCATAGTGATCTAAAAATACAAATAAGTCAGCATATACACATATATGGATAAATTAAGCTTTTCCACTTGGGCTGACAGTTCACCTTCCAAAAACCATAGAGCATCTAATAAAAACTCCAAGACCAGGTATGAGAGGCTCTCTTTTGAGTTGTTGGTTAGGATTCTCCAAGAGACTTCCAAAACTTCTAGTCTTTGGTTTTCTCCAGAAAGGTGAAAGGTAAGCCACAGCATGCACTTCAGACACAGGACCCAGAGACCCTGAACGGAAACTGACACGAAACCCTCCTCCCTGGGGTCTAGTTTTCATGGTATCAAGGTGCCAAGCAAGCTTCCAAAGGGGTGAGTCAACAAATAGTACCTAGGACTGTGATGCTATTAACCACAACGATGACAAGATAACCCTAAGGATGCAATAGTGGCTTTCGTGACTTGGTGGTCACCAACAGCTCTCTAACTAGACTCAAGACCCACTCAGCCAGAGGGAACCATGCCCAGTGCTAGAACTCTTACAAACTACCCAGGCTAGTGAAGTCATGGACCTTAGAAAAGAATCTACCACCACAACTTTACTAAGTCAGCACAGTCCCTAACTACATCCTAAATAGTTGTCCTTCTATCCACAGATAAGTATAGTCCCTACCCCACATCAAGGACAGACAGAAAACCACAACCACTCAAAATGTACAATTGTGGAGTCTGGTCCCAACTGACATCTACAATACAACTCTTGCATCTAAGTTCCAGAGGTCATCCTGGAAGAAGGGGTGCAAAGATTGTAAGACACAAATATACAGCGTTTGCTGTGATGCTGTATCTTCTAGAAATGTCTGAAACCAATATGATTATCTAAACAAGAGCTGAGCAAGGACAACAATAATAGACACGCCAAAGTGGACGGCAGAAACAAAGCCATAACCCTAGACAGAGGTGCAGGGAACTGAGGAACACTGAGATCAGGAGAAAGCTCTCCCCAGGAAAGAGTACACTAGTTGGTTATCCAATCCCAAATATTCAGCCCCCAAAACAGATATAAACAAATCCCATTACACAGACTGTGCAGGTTATATTACAGTATTTAGTAAGATATATGTATGTAATAACAATTAATGAATAAACAGGCCATGAATTTGAAAGAGAGCAAGGAGGGCATATGAGAGGACTTAGAAGAAGGACATAGAAGTGGCAAATGAGGTAATTATATCATAATCTCAAAAACAAATAAAAAATAATTTATAAGAGACAAAAAGTAGTCTAGAGAGACCAAAATTCCAAGAGAAATATGAAAAACTTTACTTTTTATGCCATTGTTAGAAATTTAGCTTGCTACCTATATCCTGCTTACCCATAGGGATATTGAAATAAGTCTAATGTTACATATAAAAAAAACTAAACAACAAAAAAGAAGGCTGAACAGGTATGAGAGCAAGCCAATAAACAGTGTTCTCGCCAGCCTCTTCTTCAGTTCCTGCCTCCAGGTTCCTAATAGAGGTCCTATCATATCATTCATTTCAGATTCTAAGGTATAAAATGAAATAAACCCTTTCCTTCCCCCAATTCGCACACATCTGTGTGCACATGCAGGCAGGCACATACACACACACACACACACACACACACACACACACACACACACGCTGAACATACAGAAAGGCAAGTTTGGAGACTGAGCCAATATAAAGTGTTGAAGAGCATTGGAACATGTCAGCGTTCAATGCTGATGATGTATCTCTTTTTTTTTCTTTTCACCTAATTATTTTTTATGAGTTCATTATGAAGTGTTCAGGCCTAACCTGAGGGCCTTACTATTGCTTGGTAATGGCTCTGACTATGAGATTCTCTACGGACTGTTCAAATTTCCTTTCTTTGGGTTCTCTTTAGCACCATTTCCCTCTGTGTCCTTTCCTCTGCATTCATGCCTTTTCAAATAAAAGTTCTGCGGATGAAGGCCGTTCTGAAAACACAGGGCAGAGCTGTATCTGCGATTGATTTCAGTGCTGGTGTCTTAAAAGAGGTTCCATGCTGGGGAATGAAGGCATGATCAAGTCTTGAATATTTCTGCAGCCTGAAGTCTCTTCCCCACTCTGAAGAAGGGGAAGGTTCTGAAAGTACAGAAATCACTGTGCGTGTGGTGTTCTCAAAGAACAAGGGAAGTTTGCTGGGTGCGCTCTGATGTGTTCTTGCAGAGTTCAAGGGAGCAGTACCAAGACTCCTACTGAGCAGAGAGAATGAAGCTGACATTTACAGATAAGAAAGGTCACTGCCTTTCCTATTTGCAGGCAAAGCCAGTCGGGAAATATATAAAGGAGAAGCTCAGCTCAGCTCTCAACCAAGGCCCTTCCTGGCAAGATGAATCCCACCAGCTTCTTCCTCCTTACATTGCTCCTGGTTCTGGTGACAGAAGCATCTGCAAGGAGACCCCGTGGTGAGTGACAAGTTTGTTCTATGGGAAAGATATTTGAAAAAATGTTGTCAAAGGGGTCCACTTGGATTCTGCAGAATGCTGTGTTCCCAGGGCTTCTATCCCTGAAGGAAGCTGAGTCTTTTTCCCCCTCCCTTTTTTTGTCTTAGCCACACATTTTATGTGACTATCAGAGGCATGACAATCAAAGCACCAGTAATGAGGGTTGCAGGGGAATGTGGGACACCAGGTAACAAAAGCACCCTCATTGTCAGCTGTGAGGGGATTAGACAAGTAGATCATTCCAACTTCTAACTAGACTAAAAGGTCAATGACAAAACAGCAGCAAGGTAGATCTGAACACAGGTCCATCACCGGAGCTGAAGCACGGGCTCTCGACAGTGTCCCGATGCACTGATCCAGAATATACAGAAGGATGGACATAGGGAGTGAGACATTCTTTTCTCTCCACAGAAAAGTTCTCACAAGGGTCTGAAGAACATTCTAGTGAAATCTCTGAAGTCGGCGGGAGCAGTAGGGGATCAAGTTCTGCCAATGAGGAATACAGCCGGAGTGAGAGCTCGTGGAGTTCCTTCAAATCAAAATATCCCAAAAGTGGCTTCAGTGAGGAAGGCTCGTGGAGTTCCTTTAAATCAAAAAATCCCAAAAGTGGCTTCAGTGAGGAAGGCTCGTGGAGTTCCTTTAAATCAAAAAATCCCAAACGTGGCTTCAGTGAGGATGGCCATCTTGATTACAAGACTAGAGGATCTCGAGGAGAAGAAGGAATGAGCTCTTTTAAAAGCAGAATGAAAACTCGGATTGCTGGGAAATAAGGTGTTGACTGGCCAGCTGAAGATCTGGACCAATATAAAGGTAAGGATATGACCAGGTGCCCGAGATGCCCGCCTAAGCATTTCAAAGTTATGCCTGGCTATTCCCTGGGCCATTGTGGAACTGACTGATCCCTACAGCGCACACCTGCAGAGCTGTGGAGTGTGACCTTTGGAGAGGTGAGCAGAGATTGGTACTGAGCTGTGACTGAGTCCGGAATTCATACCCTTAGTGTACAGCATCAATGGTTTTCTCCTGCCCAATCCAGCGAGTGATAAAATTGAGCATATACCACCTGTACAAGCACATGTATAAGCTTTAAATAGAATCTTGTCAGTTCTTGTGCTGTGCTTGTAAAAGTTAATTCCATGCTTATTGTGGCAAAAAAATAGTACAGTAGATGCAATCTCCTCATGTCCACACAGCGCAGTAAGGAGCAATTATCTTTTTCAGAGGCCATAGCTCCAAGAATTAGCTTCCTCTTCCCTCTCAAGAGAAAGAGAGAGAGAGAGAGAGAGAGAGAGAGAGAGAGAGAGAGAGAGAGAGGAAAGAAAGAAAGAAAGAAAGAAAGAAAGAAAGAAAGAAAAATTGTCCCTGCGTGTGACACACTAGAAATGAAAAATAGCAGTACCCTGCAGTAGAGGCAACCACAGAGACCTGAGACTTACAGCAAATGTCCCTGTCCCCTCCCCTGCCCTGCTTCACACATTGTCCTCTCCCTCCCTAGGTGTCACTGAACCGAGAGAAGTCTGTATTATCTTCAGGATTCAGACTCCCGCCCTGGGTTTCACTTCCTTCTCACGCTTGTTTTTCCTTAAGATTCCTAACCCTGAAAATATTCAAATTTAATCTTTTCAATAAAAAAAGATATTACTCTGCATCATTTTCTCCTGAAGTCTCTTGCTTCTGGGGCGAAGGGTTGGTGGGACCCCTGGAATTAACAGTTTCACAAGTAACGGATGTGGCTTTCTGTGTGGGTCTGGTGAGTCACAGCTAGAGACCCCTGATTCAGTAGAACACACTGGGACTGCCAGTCACTGCAAGCACCATTGACCCTAATCCCCACCGGATCCTCTTCTTAGTGGGGCCTCAAACTGACAACCTAGGAAATGTCAGAGAAGACATGTTCCAAGGTTCAGGGACATTGCTGTCAGACTGTGTTTTCCAGTAATACTGTCAGAAGCTACGCCAATAAAGTCCCATCAACACAGCTGTCTAAACATAAGCTGAACAAAGACAACAATAAACATGTCAAAGTGGACGGTTCAAAGCTCAGGGAGCCTCAACTAAAGGATGCTGAGAGTAGGAGAAACAGTCTTCACCACAGGACAGCACACCATTGGTTGTTCAATAGCAAATGGTCAGTCCTGAAAACATACATATGAGTAACATACATAACTAGCAGGATGCACTTAGCAATATATGTGCGTGTACATATGTGCATGGAATAACAATGAAAACAGGCTACATATTGAAGTAGAGCAAGTTAACCAATAAAAATAAAATCTGTTGAACTCACAGAAATGGGCTGGAGGTATAAACAAAAGGTTCTCAATAGAAGAAATAAAATGTCTAAGAAACACCTGAAAAAGTACTTATCATCCTTAGCAATCAGTGAAATACAAATTTTCTCACCCCAGTCAGAATGGCCAAGACCAGCATCACAACTGACAACAAATGCTGGTGAGGTTATGGCAAAAAAGGGGCTCCTCGTTCACTCTTGGTAGAAAGGCAAATTGTGAAGCCACTCTAGAACCCAGCATTGAGAATTCTACCACGATTTCTGTCGGGTCCATTCCAGTCAGTCGGTAAAGTTTAAACTTCCCTTTTTGAATCAACTAAGAAACCTTTTATACATACGTCTTTATTTTTTTTTACTCTGTTTATATGGTAAAAATATCCGTTCTAAGATTAAACTCCCTGTAGGGGAATGTAAAGAAGATAAAATAACCAGAATACAATCCAGCTCTGCCTCCAAACGATCACATGTGCATCCAGTAATTTCTTTTCTACCAAAACCAACCCCCTCTCAGCTTCAGCTGACAATTTTCTTGGACTATTTAAGTCAGTACCACCTTGTAAGGATTAAAACAAATTACTGAGTTCTTGAGTTGTGAAGCCAATTGTGGGTCATAGCCAGTTAATGTCTCCCAGTTGAAAGTCATTAAGAGTCCAAAACTGATCTCTCCTGATTTGTACCTTTTGGGGATGAATTTTTTGTAAACCTATTTTATATTCCAGGTAATTAATAAAATGTCCTCTTTGTGTTTTGTCAGGCGCAGTTTGTTATCCTCAACAAGGCAAAACTTTCTTTACTTCTTTGAACATTTCTTTAAAGTATCCACATTTAAATCAGTTAGTAAGATATCACCCACACAATGGTAAATCATAAATTGAGGAAACTGTATGTGAATCCTTTGTCTGTCATACAAAATAATGGCACAGATGGAGCTGTTTAACACCTCTTGGGAGAATCTTCTATTGAAATCTCTTAGCAGGCTGAGAGTAGTTAAGAGGAGGCACCATAAAAGCAAATTTTTCTCTGTCCTTTTCTTGTAAAGGTATAGTGAAGAAACAGTCTTTTAAATCATTAACTCTAACAGATTATCCTTTAGGTAATAGAGAAGCCAGGAGAATTCCAGGCTGTAGAGAGTCCATCAGATGAATTACTTTATTTACGGCTCTCAAATCTGTCAGCATTCTCCATTTTCCAGATTTCTTTTTAATAACAAATACAGGAGAATTCCAAGGACTGGTAGATTCTTCTATATGTCCAGCATCTAATTGCTCTTGTACCAGCTGTTCTAAAGTCTGTAATTTTCTGATGTCAAAGGTTGTTGTTCCACCCAAACAGGTTTGTCAGTTAACCATTTTAAAGGTAGGGCTTTTAAAAGATTAGCAGCTGTTGTGCCCTGGTTATGTGTAGCCTGAATGGTTGCAGACTATTCTTTACAATACCTTTTAATATTTTCCCAAGAAACACACATTGATTTATGGTTTGTTTCCAATAGTTGAAGAATGTTAATCTGAGTATTCCATTGCTGTAACAAATCACATCTCCATAAATTTATTGCTATATTAGCCACATACAGCTTTAATTTTCCTGTCTGTCTTTCTTACCCTATACATTTAACCCAATTCACACTTTGTTTTATCCAAGATAGTATTTTAATCCCTGAATGCTGAACACATGCATCCTGAAGAGGCCAGTATGGATGTCAAGATTCTGTGCAATTATTATTACATCTGCCTCTGTGGCTACAAGAACTCAACTACAAAGTCATTTATTCATGCCTTTGGTCTTTGATAATGTATAGAAATCTGCCAAAATATTGACTTTATGGCTGCTCCTGAAGTTTTTGTTTTTTTCTTCTAAAACTGTACTATCATCCAGAGAAGTATGTTTTTTTTTTTTTTTTTTTGCAATATGCACTATGTTCCTTAATTGCTCTGGGAGAGGAGTTTACCCCATGGTGACATGATGTGGGATTCCCCTCTGTATGCTGTGATTACCATTGATTAATAAAGAAACTGCTTTGGGCCTATAGCAGGGTAGAATAGAGCTAGGCAGGGAAAACTAAACTAAATACGGGGAGAAAGAAGGTAGAGTCAGGAGATGTTATGTAGCCCCTGCCAGGGACAGACACTGGAACCTTGCTGGTAAGCCACAGCCACGTGGAAATACACAGATTAATGGAGATGGGTTAAATTAAGATGTAAGAGCCAGCCAATAAGAAGCTAGAGCTAATAGACCAAGCAGTGATGTAGCTAATATAGTTTCTGTGTGGCTATTTCGAGTCTGGGGAGCAGAAAATTAACAAACAGCCTCTGCCGACAGTAACAGGGAATGACTGAACCAAAGCTAGCATGAGGACTCACCAGTTGCCCCCCAAGGCATTTCCCAGTGTTAAATGGCTGGCTTTCTTGTCCCTTGTTGATCTACATTCATTGATCCAATTTCTGCATTTGCTACATCTTCCACATACTCCAGAAGGTGGAACCTTCTGTTCAGGTTATCTCTAGAAGAGACATTTTTTCTAGGAATGCCCTGCCTACCATTCTTTTTTAGATGACCTTGTTTACTACAATTAAATCGTTTGACATTTTGGGTTTTGGTTTTTCCTCATGCCTTTGGAAATCACCTGTCCTATCCAAGCATCATCACGGTTATGAGACCCATTATTGACTGTGTGTGGGACCCATTCCTCTATGGCTACTGATCTTATCCTTAAAGGCCCATTATACTTCTTCATTGTGTATTAGAATTTTCAAAATCCAAGGATTCAATTAATATTCATCTAACTTCTGAATATGATACTATTATATTCATCTTTGCCATAATTTATTGCAGACTTCCTTCTTTTGGGCCTTGTATAACTTTGGTAAATGGCTCAGCCTTCTTTCCTGATTCTTGGATCCTGTTTCAAGCATTTAAGGCTGCTGTACAGCATGGGGACAAGGTGTGATCATCAAATGTAGTTTGACTATTCACATCAGCATGATTTTATCTTGGGAAATCTTATAACCTCTAACCTTACCTTGCTGTTTGAGGGCCTTAGCTTCTTCTCTCCCATAAACTGTTCCATTCCAACTGAGGACCATATTACAATACTGCTGTAACTAAATCTTTACAGTCTTTTGGAGTAATTTTATTCTGAATAAACCATGTATTCACCCTCACATAAGGTGAATGTATATCATGGAAAACTATTGCTTCCTTAAATCTCCTTAAATCTAACATTTCCGTAGGATCCCATTTAACTTCTGTGTGGCCTTGGAGGTAGCTGTTGTCTGGTGTTCTTTCTTGAATGGTAACTGAATAAATAAAGGTTAGTTTCTGTTTTGTTTTGTTTTGTTTTTGTATCAAGTCAGGGTTTCTCTGTGTAGCTTTGGAGCCTGTCCTGGAACTCACTCTGTAGACCAGGCTGGCCTTGAACTCACATAGATCCGCCTGCCTCTGCCTCCTGAGTGCTGGAATTAAAGGCGTGCACTACTACCGCCTGGCAGGTTGGTTTTTAAAATAACCTTGAGTCACTCCTCTCTGATTCTATGAGGTGATGGGAAGGTTGACTTTCCTCTGAATTCTGTGTCTGAACACTTTTTACTATTAGTTTTAATAAATTTTTCTAAGGCATGTAATTTATCAATAGTGGCTTTTCCTAAGGTTTCTAAATTTTGAAAAGTAATCTGTTCTAAGGTTTGTATGTTATCTATCACCCTTCTATTCTCATCATCAGAAAAATTTTCTAAAGCTTTTATCTTGTCAGTAAAGATTGTATTATTCTCCTTAATAATCATCTGTATGACTTGCATATTATCAGTTACCTTCTTGTTCTCTTCATTGGTAAATGTTATAAAGCCTTTATCTTGTCAGTCAAAGCTGTATCATTGCCAGGTGTGGTCGGGCAGGCCTTTTATCCCAGCACTCAGGAGACAAGGGCAGGGAGATCTCTGTGAGTTTGAGACCAGCCTGGTCTACAGAATGAGTTCCAGGACAGCCAGTACTACAAAGAGAAACCCTGTTTCTATAAACCAAGAGAACCTGTATTTTTCTCCTTAGTAACTATTTGTAAGGCTTGCGTACCATCAGTAGTAGCTTTTTTCTAAAGCCTGTATCTTTTCAGTCAGTCTCTCATATGTGGCACCATTATCAAGCCACTTTTAAGGATAAGATATGAATTGAAAGACTGATGACCACTAGGAGCAAAAATGTATTGATCCCAGTTGTTTACTCCTCAGTTAGTTTTCCTAGCATCCTATGCGCAGTAGCAGCGTGCAGGGTCCTAATTCCCTACGCTGTGATATTCCCAATCATTGACTTGGGAAAGGTTTTAAGATTGTCTTTTTCATATGCG